ATCACCAGCAAAATTATACATGTATTTCTGTTGATTTTTCATTATGGACCGGATGCCCATCCAGAACCACCCAGCTATTTCATATTATTGCCTACAATACTGTTATTATTAACATTATTCGGATGCAATAACCATTTCGTCTGAAAGTATTGTTCTGGGAGTTAATTTGTTGAAAAACTACATGCAGAGAATTCCATACTGTCATACATATTGTTTGGAATGAAGCCATTATTATTATTATCATTATTATTATTATTATTATTAAAGTACTGGCTGAAGTTTGTCGGTTAGGTTTGCAGTGTAGGGATGATGGCAAGTGACACGACACTTTAGTGTACTCTATTTCAGTATCAAATGCTAAAATGCTCCTACTGACCGACTCTTAGCGTTCAACACCAAAATTACCATGAAACCCAATGTCGTTTCATTTAGTTAAGTGACCACATCGTAAACTTGATCTATCGACTTCGATTAGTCCTAAGTACCAAGTACCCGACGTCCGCATCCATCACCCTCTAGTGACCAACTAATCGAGATTATCCAGTTCAACAGGAGTTCAGTCGTGATGTCACTGTGATACTGACTTGTTTCGATTTAAATCCCTCTGAAGACACACCCGTCCTCTGACTTCTACAGAAGCTTCTTACTAGTGACTGTCAACAGGCTTTAAGAGCAGATGAAACAGGGTTTCCAACAGATCAGCTCTTGACATCACATAGCAAAAGTGAATGAATAAACAAAGAGGTTCGCAAAAGCAGTTTGATTAAAGTCAGTAGAAAGGATACATGTCCAACTATTAGATCCTAAATATAATAATACATTCATTTTGAATTTCATAGTAATGATGGGTAGTAGCTAGTAGTAGGATCAAAGATGCGCGTTTCGTCTTATTTAAGACTTGATTTACAGTCATTTTACGACATTGCAGACAGACCAAAAGCTTTCTGAAAACAATGTTTTGATTTCAAAGACTGAATACAATAGGAAATCTAGATTTGAGTAGTACCTGAACTAGTGAACTTAAAAAAAACTACCTATTTAGTAGTCTATTTACCAAACTCTGTAAAATTACTGCTGACAATATCTTCATTTCAATTGCAAAACATATATGCAGAATACAACACATTTTTGAGCATATAGCTATCTCACTTCGGAGGTTTGTGAAGATTTGATTAATACCAAAGTGTTAATCATCACAAACACAGAGTAGTTGGAAAAGCATTGAAAACTTGAAAGCATTAGATAGCTGTTTAGTCCCAGTACGGGACTCTTCAGATGTGCTGAACATAACCAATTGTTTAGACTAATGAGTACCAGAAAATAATTAACAAGTTGATAATCACTCGAGAGAGAATTTTTAAACGAGACATAGTTATAACTAATTGGTTTCAGTCTTTAATCGTTTGCATCATACCCCGATAACATTCACTGAGTGACGGTACTCCATCAGAGGCCAACAGTTTAAAAAATGCGCTTTCTTGACTATTGGAGTAGTAATTTTCAGGTGTACACTTCGCTTAGTGAGATTTCTGAAGCCAACCAAACTACTTTGACTGTGATTCAAATTTGATGAACACTATGCAGTTTTTTTAAGGTTAGAGGTTCGCTGGGCTCATGATTTTAAAGAAGAACAAGTATATTTCTAAGAAGAGTCTCTTTTAAGCGATTTCACTTTCAAAGCTGTACAATAGCATATTTATACATTTTTCTAGTGTAAGGATTTTATAGTTAAAAAAATGATTTGTCAAACATGGCAACACAAATAGTGTCAATACATGAACTGTCATTAAAATAAAAAAAACTGTGATAAATAGTGGATATTCGTTTGTCTATTAAGGGTCGCGTGTACTGCACAGCAGTCCCCTCTGTTCTACTCTATGACTGTGAAACATGGCCATTGAAAGTGGAAGATACAAAAAGGCTTCAGGTGTTTGACCACCGTTGCCTTCGTAGTATAGGACGTATTCCGTGGTGTCACCATGTGAGTAATGCAGAAGTTGGGTGTAGAGTTTTAGGGAGAAGAGGTAAGTCAGTCGACGAGGTTGTGAACTTTCATCGACTGAGATGGTTGGGACACGTACTACGTATGCCTAGTCACTGATTGCCTCGTCACACAATGTTGGCCGAAATAGGTCCAGGCTGGAAAAAGGCCCAGGTGGCCAGACTAAAACATGACACCAATGTATGAAGTCTCTGACTGTTGGTTTAAGCCATGTAGGACGATGCAGACTAGATGGTTGGGGTCCACGGGACAAGAGGAACCAGTGGTTGGAGACTGGTTGTAGGTGATATGGCTCAGAACCGAAGTCAGTGGCGCAGATGTATACACACATTATCCTCATCTTAACAACACTATACCGAATCTCACTATTTTGTCACTCCTCTTTCCTTTCTTCTCGTACTTTATATTTCTTTTGACTGCATTCACTTATCTTCATCCTTCACCTCACTACCTTTTTACTTGATGTGCTGATATGAGGTCTGGCAACTCGGACCGTTACGCAGTAATGCCTGGTCCTATGTTGATAATGATGATGATTAATCAAAATGAGTTTGGATAAGGTTTCGTTAGATGATGACATAATCTGCTGCTGACACTCTAAAAATGAGGATATCAAACACTCTAAGGATAATATTCTGTGCATCAACTCTGAGATTAGTATTCGCTTGTCCTCTAACGATTTCTAACAACAACTTTCTGATCTGACCACTTCTATGTCCATGTATCAATTCACCTGCTCTTTTGGAGCCAGGTATATAGATCGTTCAATGAGACTATCATTCAAAAGGGCTCAGGAACACTATCCAGCGTGGTTACGAAGAGGTAATGATGGGGAGATAAGCAGTGCTATAATTGAACACATCGTGAATACAAATCACTCTATCTCAAAAACCTCCTTGTTCAAAGTCATCTATGAAGCGAAAAGAAACCTCTTAAGGGCTCTATGTCTTCGAATTCTCTGCATCTCAGAAGCTCTTGACATCCATGTGGAGAAACCTGAACTGTTATGTACGTAAAAGAAGACTATTCAAATCCTTCTCCTTTCATGGTCTTAGTTTTCAGTCTCCACTACCTCTCCCCCTTTTTCTTTTCATCTTTCTAGTTTGACACTATTCACTTCTTAAGTAATTTGCTACTCATTCTTGTTTCTATGCTCTGCCTGATCACAATTCAGTTCCCAATTACGTCATCATGTCATGAAACTTTTCAACTGTCAAATCCTTACACAAGAAGAAGGTGTATAGATTTGGGATTGTACAGCTTCGAAAATGAAATTGTTGAGAAGAGACTCTTCGCTGACATACTCGTTCTTCTTTCATATCCTGATGGGTATATTACTCATGACTAACGAGTAGAACAATGTTTTCTTGAACAAATTTACGTGTATATTAGTATAATTGCTAGTATTATACCGTCGTTGATTGGACCGAACTGATCAACCTCTATTAACATATGGGCTCCTGTGTGGATGCCTCGATATTGCCTGTTTTAATTATATATAGTAATGATGGAACAACATCACTCACTGGGAGGTAGGTGCATCCAGCTGACGAATATCAATTAGGACGAAATGCACATCCTAGATTTCACTGCTAGCCATTATCCATCATTACGATATATAAACTTTAAGTGTGTGTACTCTACAAATATACAATAACTGCATAATCAATTGTAAAAGCCTTATTATAAAGTGTATATTTTCAATAATCCTCAATAAATCTCTGCAACAAAAATTTGAGCATACTTTGATCAACTGTTCTACTGAAATGACGATATATATCTACTTTTTAAAAAAATACTTTGATGAAAAATGTCTGACTGATTTTCAATGGAGATTTGATGAAAATTCTAAATGAAACCATCATCGAAATGGTTTACCGGGACTATGATGACAAAATAGTTAGAAGTACATTATAAGACACTACAATTTGACCAAAGGGTTCATTTATCAACTTTTCTGGCATGAAACCTGTTCTTTTCAATGTTTAATTTACCGAAGAACGGAGAAACCTAAAGGAAGTAGTCTCTTTCACCTGTCTAGACAGCATTGTTTCAACTACAGGTGGCGGCGGCACTGACGAGGATGTCAAAGCACGCGGGATCGGAAAGACAGCAAGACAGGCGTTCATCAACCTGAAACACGTGTGGAGATCTTCTGCACTGCACTCAGCATAAAGCGTCAACAACATCCAGATTTTCAACACCAACGTCAGTCAAATCACTGCTTCTGTATGGCTCAGAGACTCGGCGCGTTACGAAAGACATTTCCAACAAACTACACACATTCATCAACAACTGCCACATACGCCGGCTTGTTACTGACACTGAAGATCAGATGGATTGCCAGGATAATAAGAATAAGCAACAAGGAACTCACTGTGGCTGGCTGGCTGTCAACGAACCAACCAACAACCTATCACTCAACAAATATGCAGTGTAAGGAAGTGGAGATGGATGGTATTGGACATACACTGAGAAGACCGACTAGGGACATCACGTGCCAGGTCCTCGAGTGGAATGTAAACGGGAAGCGACGAGTTGGGCGTCTGAGGTGAGGGTGACATGGAGGAGATCGTGTGAGGAGGAAATGAGAGCTTGTGGGCTGTCGTGGAGCCAGGTTGAGAAGACTGTAGAGAAGAGAGTGGAATGGAAACGTGCTACTGAATCCCCTTGTTCTACTAGGAACTCAAGAGAAAGTAATCATCATCATCATAATAATAATAATACAGAAGAGTTCAGAAGTAATAAACGACAGTTGCATATTTTTCTTCTTGCTTAACAAATTGATATAAGTTTGTTGTAAACATCAACTTCTGTAGTACCGATTTCATGCTAGGAAAGTCGATAAACATACCATTTTCTAATTACACGTAATTCTTCATTGCTACACTGGATCATATTGTTAGGACTTGGTTAATCATATGAGCTTGTATGCAGATGCCTAAAATACTATTTACTCAATAGCATAACTGAATAATACTAAAAGAAAATAACTTACTATTGTTGAGTTGTTGATTAAACTTGTTTGATTTTTACTCCAATGAACTGATTTACATGATGAACTCAGTGAATTGTTATTGAATCGATTAATTTCAGGTTTATTATTTGTTACAAGAGTTTTAATTGAAGCATATATATCAGGTTGATTAATATTAATTTTTTGTAATGAAATTGAATGACGATTGAACACAGTTACATTTTGTTCACTATCTATTGTATTCAATGATACTGTCTCTTCATCAGTACTTAATAGACTTCCACATTCAGAATTGATCATATTATAATCTTTTAAATGTTTAATTGATGATTGATAATTATATTTTTTTGGTATATCCATTAAATGATGCTTTTGATTATATAAAGAAAATTTATTTTCATTACTTTTATATTGATTTGAATAATAAATTGGTTGTTTACATTCTAATGTAGTAGATCCAATATTCCAAATATCCGGTTCATCATTATCATTATCAATTAAATTTGTTTTACATGGTAAAGATATTTTTCTTATTGAATTTTCTGGACTTTTATGTATCATATAACTTTGAGAAATTTCTGATGATAATCTTCTTATAGGTGATAAAGTTGTTGAAGCCCGTGGTTCATATGGTCGAATCAACTTTTGTAGTGTATTCGATGGTAAACATGAATTAGGATATGATCTACATTGATAATCTTGATTTCTATATACTGATGATTCTGGTCGACTTGATATTGTAGATGGTAAGAATTGAATAGGATTGTAACGATTATGATCTCTTATAGTTGTTGGTCTAAGGTTATCTTTTTGAATTAAAGGGTTCGTTAAATAATTACACTTAGTGTGAAAGTGTATCGGTGGAGATGATCTTTCAACTGTACGATATGTTTCAATAACAGGTTGATGACTTCTAAGACATTGAATTGGTGGACTTTTTGGTTGATGCAGTGATGGTTTCAATGCATCATTAATGAAGTGCTGTTGGCGCTGTTGTTGTTGTTGTTTTTTCAACTGGAATGGAGATGGAGAAAGATTCTGACGGTGATTATTCATCCTTGAAGCATTTGGATATAATTCTTGATTACGTGAAATATGATCCTCAGAAATGATCAAGTTGTTTGTGATAAGTCCTACTGTGGGACTTCTGACTCCTGAATGATCATGATGATGAGGAGGATGCAATGGTGATTTATTCCCTGTCCATCGATTCAACGATGGTGTATAACCGTCTGACATAACTATTCACCTTTCTTAATACTCAAGAAAGCCAACACAAAATAAAATTCACGAGGAACAGATGTGTATAGTACAATAATAAGGAGATCAACAAAGCATATCTGTGATTATTAATGCCAATCTTAACACCAATCTCCTGATAAAACAATGAAATAATAAAATGATGAGCAAATAAACAAGTGTGTTCCTGAAAAATCATTCAGTAAACAAAAAACTACCTGAAGTGTTAGAGACATATAGACAAAAAGCTTAAAACTATCCAACTGAATGCATGTCCGCCTTTCTACAGTGGTCATGCCTACCGATTCTCCCTTTCATGCACACATTTAACAAAACAGTTTATTTCCATGTTGAAAATTATATATATCCACATAGAATGGAGTTAAACAAACTGATCGATCGCTGGCATGGCCATTTTTTATGACAATTACCTTCAATAAAGTTTGTAGGTGTACACTATTCCTGTTGCGATCCCTTGTTTATTCCACACACACACACACACACACAAGTATACACATTGACAAACATTTCGTTGCATGTCTATGCCAACACACAAGCACACATACACACATGTATACAACGGTAATCAAAAGGATATGAACCAATAGAGTGAAACACCATGTTGTTATATCAATCTCTGATGTCAGCTGTAATCGAATGTCTCTTTTTTCTTTGTTGATTACAATGTCCTAATCGCTTAGTCATCCGGCGTAGTCTTAGATTCGTAATTGACGTTTTAATTATAGTCCGCTTGGTGACACGGGTTTCGTCCCGCTTAAGACTCATTGGCAGAATATATCAACACCTTACTGAGTGATATTGTTCCCGCTGGGACTCGAACCCAGGACCTATCGCCTTAAACGAAAAAGTGTTATCCACTAAGGCCACTGGAGCACCTTTTGTACAACAGATTTCAGTTGTGGAGATTATTTGTAGTTCAGGTAGATGGTCTTGGTCGTATTGTCCTCTCTGAGCTACATTGTTTAATCGTGGAGCTTTCATCGACTTTCCAGACGACATCATCAACACTAACTTCAGTATGAAGTGACCCGTCAGTATCTCTGCGTGGGTAATTTAGTAGCTTGCCCCGAAGAAATGGGTTATGATTGGTTGTTTCCCTTGATTATCATTGACTGACTGCATAGATTTTCTAGTTGACTGTTCTCCTGCTTCACCTCTGACCTTTATTTCGTTTATCATTTTTCTCATAGGTTGATAGATTGGATATATGTCTAGCAACAATCCAACAACGCACAAATTTAGTTGCGTGAAGACTCTATTCAGAAGAATGAGGACACAATGTTGTACAACAACTTCACGGAGAAACGAAAAAAATTACTTGATGTCTATGCTAAAGCAGAACGGTTACTTATGAAACTTTATCAAAAGATGCCTATCCCGCACATCACCAACCACAAAGTCATTGACAGAAATCAACAAACACATCATCCTACTATACATAAAGAATATATCAGAAATCAAAACAAGATTACTAAGACCACTTGGTAGAATTGGTTTGACTCATAAACCAACAAATCCCCTACAAACACTATTATACAAACCAAAGGATGTAACAACAAAAGAAGAAAAACCCAACATCATTCACAAAACCAACTGGAACAACTGTAGTCAACACTACATCAGACAAACTGTCACCATCTTCGCCTTTTTTCTATATGAACACCAATTGACTATTCAACGTCACACACGACATTTCATCACTCATTTCAATGCATGTAGATAACAACTATGGATATGAATTAAATTTCAACGATGTAGAAATGTTGGTAGGAAGTACAAATCATGTGCCCACCAAATTGCAACCCTACACTACGCATCATCATAGAACAGAGCACAGAATGGCAATCAGCTCTCTACCTCAACTTCATCGACTTTGAGAAGGCCTTTGACAGCGTCAACCGACAAGTAATTTGGAAACTGCTTGACTACTACGGAGTACCGCAAACCTTTATCCGCCTCATTCAACAACTATATGAATATGCCACATGCCAGCCAAGTAATTCACAATGGGAAGCTCAGTGATGCTTTTGAAGTGAAGTGAAGACAGGAGTAGGAGTGAAACAAGGTTGCCTACTATCACCCATGATATTCCTGATTGTGGTGGACTGGATCATGCAGCAAACAGTGGGAGCTGTGAGAAGAGGGGGATACGTTGGCTGGACTGCGGAAAAGAACCTAGAAGACTTGGATTTCGCCGATGACTTGTGCCTAATGTCACATAAACTTGAAGATCTGCAGGCAAAAACTAACAAGTTGATAGAAGAGGCAGGGTGGCGAAGACGGGACTTCAAGTGAATATAGAGAAGACAGAGGTGATGAAGATACTGTACCACCATCAACAACAACAACAAACTCCAGTCACCGTCAACGGGAGAAACTTAAAGGAAGTAACCTCCTTCCCTTATCTAGGAAGCACTGTTTCAACTACAGGCGGGACGGACGAGGACGTCAAAGTCAGAATCGGAAAAGCAAGACAGGCCTTCATTAGCCTGAAATCAGTGTGGAGATCTGCACTCAGCATGCGGAACAAGATCCGGATTTTCAACACCAACCCAGTCAAGTCAGTGCTCTTGTATGGCTCAGAGACTTGGCGCGTCACGAAAGGCATTTCCAATAAACTACAGACATTCATCAACAACTGCTTACTCTGGCTCACTACTGAAGATCAGATGGATTGCCAGAAAGAATAAGCAACAAGGAGCTCTGGCTGGTGACGAACCAACCAACAACCTATCACGCAACAAATATGCAGGAAGAAGTGGAGATGGATTGGTCATGCACTGAGAAGGCCGACGGAGGACATCACGCGTCAGGCCAGTTGCTCGAATGGAATCCCCATGGGAAGCGACGAGTTGGACATCCGAGGCGAGGGTGACATAGAGGAGATCGTGTGAGGAGGAAATGAGAGTTTGTGGTCTGTCGTGGGACCAGGTTGAAAAGATCTCAGAGAACAGAGTGTACTGGAGGCGTGCTACTGAAGCCCTATGTTCCACTAGGAACCCAAGGGACTAATAATAATAATAAGTGTTGGAGGGAGAAAGGAAACATAAAGAATATGAGAAGATTCCGAGAAGCTTGGCATTCAGGTCAATCAGTCAGTCAGCAATCAACAGATGTATAGACATAGACCCAATCTCTCAACCAATGAGAAAAGTGATAAACGACAGGAAGGTCAGAGGTGAGGCAGAGGAACAGTCAACAGAAAACTCTGTACACTCAGTGACACAAAAGTCAAATAAAACAACCAATCACAACACCGTTGGTCAGGGCAAGCTACTAAATCACTGACGGAGAGATATTAACAGCTCACTTCGTATTGAAGTTAGTACTGATGATGTCACCTAGAAAGACGCTAGAAGTTCCATGATTAAACAACCCAGTTCAGAGAACATAAAATGATAAATAGATATCAGTTATTATTTGATACTTGTAATTTCTCGGTGCTGCATAGTTGGTCGAACTGCTCGACTTCTGTTGGCAGATGGGCTTCTGCGTGTACGCCTGAATACTGTTTTAGTATTCATTATGTTATAGTTGTTTATTATGCAATACTGACATTCTCATTTTGACTATCTGATATCATTATTATTTATTAGTAGTTCCTTTGGGTTCCTAGTAGAACATAGGGATACAGTTACAAATGACCTTTTCACTTTCTTTTCGGCAGTCTTCCCAACCTGACTCTACGACTGCCAACAAGCTTTCATTTCTTACTCATATGATCTCCGCCATGTCATCCTCGAACGCCCAACTCATCCTTTCCCATTCACCTTCCACTCGACGGCCTGGTCTAACCTGATGCATGATATCCTCAAACCATCTCAGTGTATGTTCATTCCACTCCAGTCTATCTCCACCTTCTTCTGCATATTTGTTGGGCGATAGGTTGTCGGTTGGTTCGTTGCTAGCCAGAGTGAGTTCCTTGTTGCTTATTCTTATTATTCTGATCATCTATCTATCTCTACAAGTCACTCAATAGCTTGTTCTAAGTATCCGAGATTGTAACTACATTATCGAAACCTTTCGGAATCAATGTCACTCAAAAGCCAACATAACCTCTTCACCCTCGATTATGAAGGACAAAATACACAGTACACTAAAGAAAAAAACCAAACATCATTTACAAAATAAACTACAGAAACTGAAATAAACACTACATCGGACAGAATGATCACCCTCCTCCTCCTCCTCCTCCTCATACCCATCTACATCAACATCGACTACCAGTGAAGCGTCATCATATGTCTTTACTCATATCAATCCGTACAGATGAATGTGGACATGAATTCGACTGAGAAAACGTGGAAATCCTACATAGAGGAATCACAAGAAGAATAGCAGAAAACGTTTAGAAGCTTGACAATCAGATCAGTCAATGGTCAACAGATGTATTGACATTGACGAAATCTATCCACCGATGACAAGCAATAAACAAGTCAGTGTCCATGTCAGTAGGACAATCGATATAAATAAACATGGAGAAAACGACAAATTGTTGGTTGAAAGCTGTGCATCAGTTTCACTCGGCTCCTAATACATACGGGCTTTTTTATAATTGATTTATGTACCGTTTTATCATGTGTAATTCCTTTATGTTATCACTTTCTTCAGGGCACCAATAGCTATCTACACAGCTAAGATGAAAATAAATAATCATATTTTAAGGTAATATTCATCACAAACTCAAGTCATTTGGATAATAAGTAAAAATCTAGGAGCACTGATGAGGTGTTTCGTCCAAGTATAGAACTCATCAGTATAACACCATCACGGCTTCACAAGGAATCAAACTCAGGGATTATATATGTGTACTGCTAAGAAATTCCAAGCTGAGACAAAACATCTCTCCATTTCTCTCAGGTTATCAGTAGTTCTCCAACTTATATTAGTTTGTGATAAATTATTTTTTTATTATTATTAGTCCCTTGGGTTCCTAGTGGAACATAGGGCTTCAGTAGCACGCCTCCAGTGACCTCTGTTCTCTGAGATCTTTTCAACCTGGTCCCACGACAGCCCAGAAGCTCTCATTTCCTGTGATAAATACTATCCTGAAATATATATTCGCTTCATTAGAAATCATTATTTAACTTACGGTACAGAATTCTCAGATCTAATATTGCAGTGATTTTCACTTTGTACAACAGCAATGATAAAGATTTACAATAGATTGTATATGAGAATAGGATTGTTTAAATACCAAATGACTGCAAAGTTATCATAACCCCTGGTTACTACAAAATTGACTGGTAAGATTGTTTCTCATATGCTTTTTTTCACATCATATAAAAGTTAAACACGGTACAGCTGAATCTTTG